ACCCCCCAGCTGCCCGCGTTGAGAGTTGTATTCGGGAATTGTTCTGCGCCGAGCTTGTCCCGTGCGGTGTGTGGTGTGGCAGCACCAGGCGACGATTCGCGCCCGGCTGGTAAACTGGACAGCCCGGGGGAAACGTTCTACGTCGCGCAGCTCCATCGAAACCTTGTGGAAGGAGGGAAGGTAGTCTGACCCCAGACTGCTAAGGACGCTTCGCTAGCAAATCTGGAGACGTAAAAACCTAACAGCATAAACCTTCGCATTTCATTTTGCCCTGGTTCATCTCTACAAACAGCAACAGCAGAAAAGCAAATGAGAAATAAGCGGCTTCTGTAATTTCAAAGGCCAAATGGTGCAAACCTTTCCAGACTGGTTTGACACAACTCCTTAGAGTGAACAGCTGCCCAAACAGCTCGTCTGCAAACAGCGCTTAATCACAATGAAATTGAACCAGGCCTAAGCAATAGTTCTATTGAACTTTCCCCCATACACCTAACCCCAACTCTATCCCAGGTCCATGCTTCTCTGGAGAATGACTCAGGCTGACCCGTTTTCCTAGCCTAGGAGCCAGCCTGCAGTACTCACCAGCTCAGCTATCGCATTGCATCTGACAGATGGTAAATTAAGATACTCTGCCTGACTGCTGTCACTGTGCAAACATGTCTTGCTTTCATTTGTGAAACGTTTTAGCAGACAAACTTTTGTCAACTGCTTAGTTTTCCTAAACACGCTTTATTAAACCAACATGCAAGACAACGGACATGCGAGACTAGCAGGAGGGAAGTTAAGATAGCGTACCTGAAAATGTTTGTAAGATGGCCCCATTTTGGGGGGCTTAATTGAGTTGCTCCTTATGCCAAACATTATTTTTCTGCAATAAAACACAAACATTGACAGCAAACTTTCAAAAAATTAATGAAGTTATTTTACAAATCTATCATTCCTGTGGTTAGGTCTGGATGCACACACTAGAATCTTACATTCTACTTAATTCAGCTTTTTTGGACAGGTAACTGCCATAGAATGGCAAGTTAATACATTTTCAGAACCTGCGCTAACACTTACTTGTGCGTGAATAAGCTCCCACTACGTTTGGTGCTTGAAGGGATAGAGCTGTGTGTACTTACAAGAGAACCTCACCATAATTCCAGGGAGGACTAAATTGCCAATGAATTCTCTTAATTTGGGTAATGGAAAACAAATCAGTTCAAAAATCTTACTCTGTCCTCCCAATTGAATATATCTAATGTGCACAGCAACATAATGGAAAATATGACCTCCTAAAATTAGTCTGAACAATTAATGTGATGACTAAGTAATTCTGAAGCCTCTCTGACAGATAAACCGATTCCAACAGGAGAGTAAGTACTCAACATACTAATACAGAACTGTATTACCAGAGAGACTTACCAGTACTGGCTTCATAAGGCAAATATAGTTTGGCCAAACTTCGTATCCACTTCAGTAGATGCAACTCCATTGGATCCAGTGGAAATGTACCTGCTGAACTGGAGTGAATCTATTTTCTCATCACTCATTCACATTTTTAAGTATTTAAACAAAGAACCAGATTTTTTAAAACAAGAAACAGATGATACATTCCATTCTTCCCTGTTCACACCAGTGGGAGTTCTGCACACAGGAGATTACAATTTTTAAAAAATTTTTTTTCCCATCAATGACCGCACACATTTAACCTTGAGCCTGCAATTGCTTGGTGGCATTCATTTGACTAGATGTCTGGAGAAATGTGCTAACAACAAAAGATTACAGCCTAACCATCATAAAGTTTAAAAAAAAAAATAAATCAACAAAACCAAAAGAAATGTTTGAGCAGATGATCAGCTATTGATGTAACTGCTGGGAACTCTTCTCTATCTTAAAGAAAACAAATAGTCCACGAATGTGTAATCTAAAACCATGTAAAAAAATAGAAGTAGCAGGAAAAAAAAAAAAGTCTTGCGAAAAAAACCCCAGAAAAGAGCATCTCTAAACAACAGCACAGTATATTTTGTGGACTTTCCTCAAAGATACAACTATACGAAACAAGAAATACCCAGCGAAGACTGATGAACACCGTAGAGTCTGCAGTTAAAGGACCAGGAGGCTATAGAGAGTTTGAAGACAGTGTGATCCATTTGCACTAAAGACAAATTGTCAGGTGTTTGGCTGTTGAGATAGCAAGGAACTTGATTAATTCTCATAAAACAAGAGGCCTTTCACACTAGTCCTCTTAATTCTTTGACGTAAAACCACAGGAATCCTTCATAATGAAATCACAACTGGAAACAGCTTCCAGCTGAAGCAATCGGAGGATGAGTAACTTTACTTGCAGATAATGTATCTGAATGACAACGGAAGGACAAGAAGCTGCTTTTAGATGTGAAGAACATCACCTTGCCCATGGTATTATAACAGAACTTTTGAATGCAAAAAAAATTTAGTAAAAATTTTATTTGAAATGTAGCATGAGTCCATAATTGTTACAACATACAGTTTTACACAGAATTTGTACAATATGACAGGTATTTCTATACATGCGCCCCTCCCCCCCATTTTTGTTCAGTCATTATCAAACAAACAATAGTTAAACAGGAATAATAAGCATTCACTTCTATGAAGAAAACTTTGGCATGTATACAACTGGCTAGTTAAAAGTAAACAGTGGTAGATTCAAGTCAGAAAGAGACCCACTTGTTTTGTTTCACAGCATTTGTGATCAGGATGAAACTCACCAGCACTATTTTCTAGTTAATACAAAAATGAGTACTTTATTTGCAATCCAGAAACCCCTGTTAAGGGACAAAAACACGTTAAGAGAGATGTAACCAACTTTTAACTCTAAAAGGTGTCAGTCTTAAAGCAGTTGAGGCCACGAGTATTTTGCACACATCGGTTTGGTGATGAACAGAACAAACCCTGTAATGGTTTGCTCCTGTTACTGAACTACGGATCACCTGGCACAACTGACAGTTTCTCCTTTGGACTAGAACAAGCATGAGTATCGCTGGCTCAAACGTCGTGTCCATTGCTGGACTGCAAGAAAAAACTAAAGCAGAATTTGCACTGTGCCCATACTCTGTCTCGCATTTCTGTCACTGCTGGTGGCCACTTACATACCTGCCAAATTCATCCAAAAATGAGGGAAAACAATTTGCAAGGCATTTCTCCCTGGCATACAGTAGACAATAGTTCCATTTTGGAAATCAGAAAGCAATGAAAGAACCCCTGAATAATAAGTAATAACAAGCCTCCTTTGAGAAGAATTACTTGCAATTCGTCAAGTACTTACAAAAAATACAGTTTTTATACAACTTCTCCAGATCTATTATAATTAACATATTTTAATGTAGTACTAATAAAATAAATCCATAGATACAAATGGTTGCACTTCTAAGCAGGAGTATGTAACTTAGACTTAGATTTTGCTGCAATTTCATTATTGCTGTGGAACAGACAGTGATTAAGCCATGTGAATACCAGCCTCTTTCTTATACACATCGGAATATCTAATTTGAAAAATGTTCTCCAGCAAGTCAGAATATTTTTAATGTAATTTTTTGCAGTTCCTGCTAAATGTTAGCGATCCAAAGTTGACTGAACCGTGGTGCAATATGGCACAAATGGCAGTAGAGCAGTGGAGTAGAGGCAGGAATGGCAGAAACACGGTAGAGTAACACAAGTCAGGCTCATACTCACTACTTCTTATTCCTAGGCTTTAACTCTTCTGCTGCATTTCGCAGAAAGATGTAGTTTTTCTTTTGTGGATTATAAAATTCATGACCCTAAAAAGAAAAATGAGCTGTATTTAGTCTCTTCAAAGAGGAAGTACCAGCATAACCTTAGAACGCAAGAATATGAATATTCCATTAGTTTAGTAAGATTTCATCTTAAAGTCTTTAAGACCAGATACTGCACAACACCAGAGGATTAGAAAGCTTACTGTAACAATTAACTACAAGAATTGTGTATAAAGTAAAATTTAAGGGATGTTTATCCTTTCTTAATATATATAAAAAAGTTTTCATACAAAAATAACCACATATCTCTAAGCACTACTTTATTAGATGCAGTATAAGAGCTCAATGTTTTGGTTTTTTTTTAGATGTCATTCTAGGCAGAGAAGAAACTAAAACATCTATGGCCACCCAGTTTCACTGTGTATTTTCTATCTTTTAAATGAAATAAGGTCACATTTTTTCAAGTGAAGCCCAAGTTCTCCAGGCAGCTGCACAAATCTCTCTGTTCCCCAAGTGCAAATGCAAATATACTATTTTGCATATTGACATTATTTGCACACACATTACCAACTCAATACGCAAGTATTCAAATCAGGGAAAGTAAACACTAATAAGACTATTAAAGTACAATGCACAAATGGAAAATTACCAACTCTACTTGACAGAAATGGTTCCAGAAAGCAAATTTCGTACTTAGTACCTACTGGTTTTACTACTCCCTATTGGTTTATCTGAAAGACACGTTGGTCCATACCTACCACTGCCATCTACCCAAGCATTTAGGACAGAAGAATTCATCTGCCCTCGTGTCTAGCAAAGTTATCTTAAATTGGACAGCGTCCAGAAGACTAGACACAGTGCAGTAAATTAAAATTTTGCTCTCTGTGGCACGCAATTGAGTTAATCTGTGTGATTTCTGCATTCAGTTCAGTCAAAAACACACAGAATGTTATCCTCAAAGTTAAACACACTCGTTCTAACAGGAAAGTAATACTTGTAATGGAAGTTGCCATTGCATTAAACTCAGTTACATTTCAACCTTGTTATCCCCTTCTTAAACTATTAAGAAGCATTGATTCTCCACATTATGGTTTGTGGTGGTTCTCTTGCACCTATAGGATTTATTGAGTCAAGTTTGGAAGAGAAATGCATAAATAGGTGCCATCAGCAAGCTGCACTGCATAGTACAGGAAATTTAGTGCATGGCATTCAAACGCCGGTTGAAGTGTTCATAACCACAGTCACAGCTTTTTTGAAGTTAAGCTGCAGAAGAAGCAGAGATGTGCATTTCAAAGGGGTTTGTGGGAACCTGTTAGGGTGCCACATTGCCCCATGATGCTCCCCGCAGCAGAATGCGTGTGAGCAACCAGAGTAACTCTTGAATGATGTAATTTACATTTTGCTCATCCCCATTTGCAGAATAGCATTGTTTAGCGATCTTATCCAGCTGAAGCTAAAAACCAAAGAAAGCATTATTTCAGTGTTAAATTTCATCAGATGTCTGAAACACCCACCGTAAATTCTCTTGCATGCCTGCGCAATGAGAAAGACTCAGCTACTGTTTACAAAAAACAGTGACAGCCTCATGTGAAAAGGACAGTCTTAGTTGTAAACTGCACGTATGAACACAAGTCTAAACCCTTCTTACCTTTGACCAATCATAACTGGAAGCATATGCAAATATATTGCCATTATGGTTGAAACAACAAGCAGATATCGGCTGGTCAAGTTGCTCTGATGTTTTTAGCTTCGTTCGTGCATCTTTATCCCAAAAGCTGAATCTACCATCAGATCCTACTGTTGCAAGAGTACCGTGGACAGGGTGAAATGCTATCCCATTTACCTGCAGAATCATAAAAAATGCTACGTAAAACACCACACATGGGAACACTCGCAACACACGTGCTCAATCCTGAGAGAGTAAATACACGGGAAAGATTTTTTTCAACTAGATACAGTTTTTAACTTTTTAAAAATGTTTTCAGATATGTTCTCCGGAAAAAACCAAAACAAATAAAAACCCCAAACCCCACCGAAGCAACAAGGAAAGCATCATCTTTTTTGTAGTACCTAAAAATTCAAGGCATAATCTCGTTACACAAATATATTAAATATTGCTTCAATATCAGCAAATTAACAAGTGTCATCTCCACCAAGATAATGAATGGTTGATCTGGTGCTTGTTTTAAGGGAAGTAAAAAAATTTGTCTTTCCTTTTAATGTATGACTATGACTGGTCTTTAAACGTACGTCCAAGACAACTTTAGGCAAGATGAAAGGTCAAGGAGAACAAATAATTCATGGCCAATTTTACATTAAGAGTGTATACTGCCCTGTATAAAAGATCTAGTGATAAATGCTGAATACTTACAGCATAGATATCCTGAGGTGCTGAAGTGTTTGTTCCATTGGAGCGATGACATTTAAAAGTGAAATTATCTTTTGCACTGGGGGGTGGGGAAAAGAAAAAAAAAAAGTCTTTTTACTTTCCTCATTGTAAACTGAGCAATAAAGAAAGGATGTTTTAGTAAATGGTACTTACGGATTTGGGGGGTTAATATAATGAATAGCTACTCTTCCTTCAATACTTCCCAGGGCAAATCCAGTAGGTTTGTTCACTTTGTCTTTAAAAATGGCAACACAGCGATGCTAAATTTGAGAAAGATACAGAGGATTTTAGACAGAGGCCTGAGGGCCAGATTTTCTGAATGCTGTCTGTTTTCCATGGGTACACAAAATGCCACAAACATCAATGCAAAGTAAAGCAAAAACACAAACAAGGTCAAAAGATAGTTCACGTTCTATTGAGAACTTGGGTCACCGTAGTTACATTTCTAAATCCTTACAAAGATCAGCTATAGCAATGGCAAACCAGGACATGTGCCATACCGAGATCTGGTGTTGAAACACTTGTTTTCACCAAAAAATGGCAAGCCCAGAATTTCAACAAACTGTATAAATATGCTTGTAATAAATATAATCACTTACTTGGTGTTTAAGAGGAGATTCTATTCTTCTAAACTCAGAAGGTTGATTCTCTAACTGATAAACTATCAAACCCCTTTCTGCAGTGGCCACAGCAGCCATAGGATGAACCTGGATAAGGTTATAAAACAGGTTGGAAGAGAAACACTTATCTTAACAACATGGCAGAGAATTCTATTTATTGTTTTGCAGAAATCCCTGAAGCAGTTAAAGGACTTAGACTATTTTCTGTGGGGAAAGAGAGGGAGGGAAAGGGGAAGAAGAGAAAGAACAAAGTTCATTTGCAGACATATCTTCAAACAAATCAGTTCTTCCCTGCCATTGAGAAATTGCACATACCAAAAATCTTCTAATTATTACCTGACCTTTCCAATGTGAGTTCCAATAGTGGTAATGCAAACTCATGCAGAGATGAGGGCAGGTCAGTCCTAGGGCTGATTTTGTTTTGTGATATTAAAAGGATACTAAGCGTGTTTCATATGATGCAAATACCTGCTTTCCAGAGCCTGATCAAGAAGATTAATTTATGTTTTACTGCTAAAATCACACAGAGATGGAATACTATTCTATGATTCTACACTAACAGTCGGTATTTAGTGCTAACCTACAGAAGCCTCAGAGACTGCCAGTTTATTCGTACTCCCAGGCATCCAACTGACACTACTTCACCGTATGTCATGGCTTACCACATCTGCACAGTAACATCTTTCAGGGAGCTGCAATGTCATCATGGGTGTTGGTGAACGGGTATCCCAGAACTGATGGAAACAGAGAAAGGAACAAACTCATGCTTGGAGTCAAGGATACACCATCTGAATTACTTCAGTAAAGAGAATGCAGTTGGTACCAAACTGTTTCATCCTCGTTTACAGTCAGAATATTGCAACTATCTGTGAAGTCAGGCTATTTCATTAATCTAGGTATTGTATTAGTATTTAATACATTATTTTCATTTCACATAAATATTTTCATACACAGGTTACTAGCATGTTTTTTGTCCATTTGTTCAGGCAAAAACCATACCTTCAAAGTTTTATCCCAGCTTCCTGTCATCACACAGCTATAATTCGGTGCTTTAATCCAGTGGATAGTCTTCACAGGAGCATCATGCTGAAGAAAAAAAAAAAAAAAAAGGGGAAAAAACAAAAATTTATAAAAAAAAAAAAAAAAAAAAGGGCAAACACATACATTTACTAAGATAACAGTCCACATTTCTTGTTTATGCTCCTCATATCTTTTGCATATGTTTACACTTTTTATCCATTCAAGAAAAACAATTCATTATTTTAGTCACAGCAGTTAGGATAAAGGTTGGTCCTGGCCTTATTGTGTTGCTTAGTGCTGTCAAATCACCCACACAAAGAACTACAATCAAGTCACCCTATAAAGAAAGATGGTCACAGCAGAAATACAAATTATGAACAGCAGGACTTTCCATTATTTATAAAGGGTATTATCCATCACGCTAAAAATCAACATTTTAATACAGTACATTATTTATTACAAACTAATATAAAAACCAGCTGCTTCTGACCAGAGCTACAGAAGAAAGGCCTATGTTAATTATACCAACAAGATTTTAAAATCAAGGCTGAGAATCTGAATTCTACCCCCTCAAAATACAAGTAGCAATCATGAAAAAGGCTAACTTTCTTCTTAAATTATACACCTGGCAACTCATTTCAGTCACCATAACTACACATTCTATGGACATTCAATTCTAAATTGAGAATGAAAATTATAAACTCAGTTACTACTGCAGCAGAAAACTGGTATTTGCAAAAGTGAATTCAATGACTTCTTAACTATTTTTTTTCCCCCCTATAATGCAGCAGGGTAACTCAGTGAGATCAAAGCAGCAATGGGAAGAGCTCTCTCAAGTAAAAGAGAGGCAACAGCTGCACAGGTGACTGACATCACTTCGCTTGCAAGTCTCCCTGTTGATGTGCACTTCATTATCTCAGAAATAGAAAAAGCACCCTACAACCTCTTCTTCATATAGCAGTATCTACTTCAGAAGCACTAAACATTAGCTTAATTTGCTAATAAAGGTAGCTTTTAATAAAAAGAGAAGAGGAAAAAAACTCCACCTTAGAACTTGGGGCCTGCTTACTTACTTGTGCAATCTGAATAGCTTGATTACTGTTGAGATCCCACATTTTGGCAGTTTTATCACAGGAAGCAGTAAATACTTTACTCCCATCCTAAAAACAAGAACAAGGCCAAGAGATTAAACAGCTCTATCATGCAGTATCTACTAGAAAACCGTCACGTCTTACTTCTCTTCTAGTAATAGCATAACATTAGTGTAACATATAAAGGGATTTTAAGACAAAGAAGAAACATAAAAAGGGAAACTTATTTACAACTGTATGTCGTAAACAGAGAAAACTGTGCTAGCCATTACCTAGCTTTAAATACATTCTTCCTTCTAAACTCACTTTTACCCTTCTTACGCCCACATTAGTCTGTTCTGTTACGACATGCTCAGCACACATTTACAGTAACATAAGCCTACACAATAATCACGGGATGCATCCACACGTGGCATGTGTGTCTGTCTGGAAGCCACATGCCAATTTATTTAGGGTTTTGGTAAAAATTGTTTATTGATTTTTAAATGGAAACATACATCACTCCAGCAGCCATCTAGTACAGGACCTGTGTGCATCTGCTGAGCCTTCGGAATTGTCTGTCCATTATCTTGAACTTCCCAGCAGCGAACCTGTAACAGGAGAAGCATATACAGACATAACCTTGACACTACGAACTTAGAAGACTTCTCTTCTAGAAGATCCCAGCCCCAGTTTATACAATGAAAAGTATGATTATAAACACCAAGCTTTTTTCAGAACTAGTGAAACCTTATTTTCTCTGATTATGTCCCTTTTATCTGTACAGCCACAACTCAACCCTGCAACTTCAGCCCCACCTCAGAAGTACCTTACAATCACAGAACACCTCCCAGCGCTCTCCTGGAGGGCCCTTAACCGCCAGCTAGGAAGAAGCTGCCTGCTGCAGGCTACCGGCAACAGACCAAGCATAACAGTAAAAAAAATGTGCTCACGTTTGTCTTCCCCTCCGTGTTTGTGCCAGTTGGGATCTCACCCTTCAATCCAAATAAATTTCAGTAAGGTTGTAGGAACTCCACCTTTCTGAGACTACACTGTCAAACTGGATGATTTACCATTGCGTTCATGGTTCTTTCACTGGGCAAAGTGTAACTATCTTAGCCTAACTGCATGAGAAAGTGAAGCTAAAACCCAAACAAGTAGGAAAAAGAAAAACCGAAGTAATAAAAATGTAACAAGGAGAACGCTGACTACATAACCCAAGTTGAAGCTTAAAACACACAGGCAGAGGGGAATGACATATCTGAAGATCACACCTCAATTTCTCAGCTGAAGCAGCTCAGCTATGTCAAGCTTAGTGCCTTGGCACCACGCACAAGTTTTGCAGTTCTGCAAAGAGGCAGATTTTCAGGTGCCCTGGCACAAGTTTTTAGGATCGCATTTTGCAGTTTAGGCACCGATGCTCCCCCTGTATTCATCTGTAGGTCTCCTTGTGAGGACTTACATCATTTGCCCATGATCCTGCAATGAGGAAATTACCCGGCAACGTCGGCGGACTAAACGCTAAGCAAGAGATGCTGTCATCAGGTGGGGACGTTACTTCAATATCCTATAAAGGACAGAAGACAAAACAAAATTAGCCACGTCTGAAAACCGTCCACTGAGATCCTGTTACTTCTCCGGGGTGAGTGAGCAGGCGCTGCTGTGACGCGCTAGAACACAGCGGCAGAACAGTGGCTCCCGCGGGGCTGTGGCGCATACCTTCATGGGGTTATGGTTGTCTGCAGTCGTGCTGCCGAACATGCTGGTACCTCCCGAACCGAAGCCCGACGTCGATCCGAACAGACTCATCCTTGCCCTGCAAACGAGGAGCAAGCGTACGGAGACCCGCGGGGCCCTCACGCACCCCTGGGGTGTCTCAGCGCAGCCCCTGCACCCGCACACCCCTCACCCCGCCCATGAG